GGTACCCTCAAGTCTCGGCAGTGTCTTGGTCTTGATACCCTCCGGTCTCGGCAATGTCTTGGTCTCGGTTTAGGCGGTCTTGACTACAACACTACCCTTCGCAGACTGTGGGTTTTCCCCCCTATCGGAGGGAACTTGCTGTTTCAGAGATGGTCAGACCTAGTCGTCTTGCCATGACAATTAGGCCCTTATCAGAGTCACTCAGGTCTTCACCCCTGCTCATGTCATCTTCATTGAACATCTCAAGTATGAATATCAAATGTCAGCCTTCCATCTGATATATCCCAGACCTTTACGTCTGCTGCTTTTACAAGACACCATGCACTTCATATAGTAGTCATAATGTTTTGGCTCATCAGAGTATTTATATATGTGGCTTAAGTACATTTTCAGTCCAAATCTCTGCTGCTCTTCTCCACAGCCTCAGGCTACTCATTGCCGATCATCCTCTGGCTTTCATATCGGTGCTTAAGGTGGCACCATCCAGATGTCACTGAACTAATCTGTCTGCCCGGCTGTCACCTCCAAACTGCACAACTGCACATTAGCTTGCAAGCGTGGCAGGATGCATCTCCCACTTAAATCCTTGACAGACAAGGAAAATGTCCTAAAATGATCTACCTGACAAATGTCGTCTCCCTTACCTTTGAGAAGGAACAGGAAATCTACTTAGCTGTATGCCTTTGGGGGCTATTACCTGCATTCGTGTTCCTCCCTCCTACTCTTCTTTACGCAGCTGGATGCCCTGACTTTGGAGCTGTGTTTATTGTAATTAAATTGTTTCTAAAGACTAGGCTACTTCACCTGAAATTCAAGGCCCACAGCAGCCAGTATATATATTTATGTATATAGTCCCACACTGCTGCCACTGCACGTTCCTCCGCTGCTAAGCAATAACTTGTCCTTTCATTGTAGCTTCAAACTAATATTTCCATTTAAAATTCATTTCCTACATTGAAAAATCTTGCATAATCTAGGCCCCGTTTCTCCTTCATTGCCACTGAAGCCTGCCATCCCCCCTTCCTAAATATCTAAATAATAAACCAGTCACACATTTCCTTCCGATTAGCCTCATGTTACATTTTTTTTTTTTTTTGCACAATTTATCTTGCACAACCTTCGAAGCACTGACTTCTTTATTTGTGAAATAAATCGTGCAATGGATGCGATTAATGTACTGAACTGTACAAAAGTCAAATGGTAGTTGTTCAAGAAGGCTTTGCTTTTTTGGATTCAAAACCTCTGCAAACCTATTTTCCTGTACTGGGTTTGAAATCCCACAGTCCCAAATATTATATAACGCCTACAAAGGGGGAGTTTTCCCTTCCTCTGCCGCCGTCTTTGTCAGCCTTTATCTTCCAGCCCCTGCTTTGTTAGGGTTCCCCGGTACTGAATTATGGAACAATCTGAGTGATCTTGCACTGTCAGGTTCATTCTGTCAGTTGAAGAGCAGCCCTCCCTCCCCCCCCTCCCTCGCTGTCACCATGTTGCAGCTTACAGAGATGCACTCGGCACATGGTTTTATCCACCGCTCAAAGAATTTGCTAGAATATCATTGACCCTCATAATTGAAAACAAAAGATTTAATTATCAGTGACTGGGCATATAAAAAAATAAATAAAATGTAATATTTGGGCACGTGTGATTTTTTTTCCCCACTGTAATGTTTGCATATGAAAGTAACCAAGGTGGTAAAGCATACAGGCTATGATACTGACAGAATCCCTGGATTCATTCATATCCTGATAGAAGAGTGTCAGACAGGTCTGTCCAGGAGTCCAATGAGTACCGGACAACTGATAGTAATTCATTCCCTCGCACTCCAAACTTGTCTCACATTTAGAAGCGCAGACAAAATGAGTTGCCCTATTCCAACACTGCACTCAGCAAAATGTCACATCTACAGTGGCACCCCAGCAGAGTGAAGTGAATTACTGTTGCTGCCTAGCTCATATTTGCGTTCTGCTCCCTTGACCTTCTGCAGTGATGAATATGTATGGACATATTCCTATTATATCCAGCCAGGCTCACGCAGTGGGGAATAACAAAAATCAGATCAATCACCTTTCAAGTCAAAACTGGAGCTGAGAGATCAACATATATGTCATACTTTCTATCTATGAACAACAACAGAAATTAACCAGCTCAAGATGATCTGCAGCTGGAACCCTGGGTAAACGGAAACGTTAGAAAAGGCTGCAAATGGTACATACCCAGTATATGGCTTTGGCCAATGTCATTATATAAGACATCAAAATTCAAATTACAAAGCAAATGAAAATGGCACATAAAGCGGAAATGAGACCAAAAGCAAAATTCAAAACAAGGAACATGCAAATGCAAATGCCAAGTGCTAATTTACATCCTCACTGGAGGTCTACAGTACCCTTTAAGCCTCACGGTGCAAGAAGTGATATTGAGATTTTCTGTCAGCTTCTCCATGCAGGTGATCAATGGAGCGCGATCTATAACCACCCCTGCTGAGAGCCCTTGCTGTGCCTCATAGGGCAGGTAGTTCACCAGTCATCTGCCAATCAGCTCCATGGTGAAGGAAATCAATTCCTCCAGTCATGAACTTCCGCAAATCTACAAGAGATGCAGCTTAATAATTATCCCGGCCAAAGAGGTTGTAAAGGCCCACACTTCAAAATGCAGGCCTTGTGATCATTTACAGGATTTCTGTCGTCTCGGCAGAAACCTCTCCAAAATAAGACAACCCCAAAAAGGTACCAGGTCATTAACATGTTCAAAGTTTGAAATATTCTGTATATTATCTGATTTAATCAACGATCTTCCCAGTACACAAATGACTGTGATCTAAGACACTGACCAATTTCTCAGTAAGTCCACCCTCAATCACACCTTCCACCAGCTTTCCTTTGTAGATATGTCTGACACGTGTTTCTATTCCAGTCCCCATTTGTCACTGTGCTTTACCTGTTTTGAATCCTTCCCATGTTCTGATTTGTCTCTTTCCTACACTCAGTGAACCCCTATCTTCCTATGATCTCTTCTCTCTTCATGTCCTCCTGCTGCTTCCTGACACATCTCCCCCTGCTTGGCATTGCCCTAGGTAACGTGGGTCTCCTGTGGCCTCATTAGCAGGCTGCCAACATGGGGGACAGGGTCCACCGTGTGCACACCCGAACAAAGAAGCCCTCTACAGTAACCATCTCCCTCGGGCACATTTGCCACATGGTCCTTCTGCCCACCCCCCTGAGAGGTAAAGATACTGGTTGCATCTGCAGAGCAAGAGGAGTATGAGTATTACATTGATCTGCTCAAGTCTGTTATAGCTGCTCATAAGTCAGGCTGTGAGTCCAGCTGTCTGGCCTCTGCACTGATACATCCAGGACCAAACCAAATGTGCCCCCAAAAGGCCACAGGCCTATAACCCTGAGGGGAAACATGAACACAACTTCCGCTCAAACGCAGGATTGAAAAACCGTTTCTACATATGGCTGCAGGAACACGGTCTGACATCCCTGCCCATCTTTAGAGAAGTGAACAGGCTCCCTCAGGTTTTACTGAATTTAAGTGCAAGATCCAGCTACAATGCAATGGTCAATTCAGGGCATAAGCTTGGGGGGAATTAGGTCAAGAATCCATAGGTAAAATTATTTGAAATATTGGCGAGAGCACATTTTTTTCACTTAGTTTGAATATAAAAGTTCTGATGAATTGGGTCCACAGATATCTTCCGCAGGTTTGCTTTTATATTGTGATTATATTCATAAGGTATTATGTATATTGTATTTAGGCAAAAATGTGTCTGCTGTCAAGCTACTGCACTGTCCATTTACTGTTTGCATCAGTACAGTACGTTGCTGAATTGGCGAGCTTATTTCCTGGATTAAGAAGACATGCTGATGTTTAAGTCGATGCTCACAGATCTTAATAAAATATTACTTGCAGGCACACAAACAAATACCCTGTCCTTTGCTGCCTGTTTGTAGTGATCTTTCCGGATAGACATGCACCACATTCATACAGAGAGGGGTCACTCCTGATCTGCTGGTGTCGCAAGTAGAAGATGTGTTCAAAGAGCGAAACTGAGTAGTGGTAGCTTTGGTGGGGGGAGGGGGTGGTGGTGAGGAGAATGACAATATAGAATCTGACAAGTAACAAGTAAAGTCAAGATGCGACAGACCTAGAACAAACCCCTTCTGTCCTCCTCAGAAAGTTCCCTCGCCAACACACTTTAACAGCGGAACATGGCCCACGGCGTATCTGCCAGGAAGGGAATTGGCAGGCAGGACCAGCGTCTGAGAACGGCAAATCTGTCTGCATGGCGCGGCTTTGTGGCTGCGTGCCGGCGAGCGGGCACGTCCCCCGCCTCTGCAGCGCTGGGACCGCAGTCGCGTCACAGCGGGGCCCCGCTTCATGTTCCACGCTCATCTCCTCTCGCCAGGAGCAAAGCTCACCGGAGGACACAAGGGAACGCGCCACCTCCTTCAGAAAACCCCCGGATCTGCTTCGCTCCTGGACTTGCGTCGCTTCCGGATCATGAAGTAGAGCAAAGCATAGGGAATAAAAGAGCACCGTGATATTCGAGTCTTTGGAAGAGTTTTAATACCACTGCACCAAGAAAGACATCTGTACCCTGCCTCAAAGTGCATCTATGAGAATTAGGAAACAGAGAAGAGGTTTCATGTCATATTTAGCATTTTCGTGTCGACCTGAGAAAGACAGCTGGGTTTATGCAGATGGAGGCTACAGTGACTGTGACAGACGGCTCACCTCTAAAAGCAGTAATTTTAGCCCTACAATACTGACCACATCCTTAATATCACCCATCTTGCTATTTTGGTTTGACGTTACGTTTGCTCCAATGACACAGTGAATTCATCCTTCAGGTAAAAGGCTATGGCTTTCATCATATTTTTGAAGCAGTGCTGTACATGTTCGGCATGACTGTTTATCCTGCCGCTGGTGAGGAAAACACTGGCAGGAAAGGGCCGCCCCGGGCTCACAGCCACATCCGTAGTGACACTCATCCCGTCGCTCCATCCCACTGCCTTGCATTCGGCTTCCACTATTTACAAAGTGATGAGCAAAGGCAAAGCACCTCTGCTACAGCCCAGAGAGTCGGGAGATGGTGTGCAACACGGAAGGGACGACTGCATGACATTGAGGGGCCAGCTTTTGGAAGAGAATCCCTAATCCTATGCTACAATTTATCCAGTGAGCTCTCAGAGCATCAGCGGGGCTTAATGAACGTGTTCTCTCCAAGCTGGTATCTATTCATGGCATGAACTCTGTTGCTTCTGTAGCTGTTTGTCTTTGCAGGGTACATCAAGGGATCTGAAGGCAAAGCTTAGCTGCTACAGAACTCTGCACGAGGCCCCCTCCCCCTCGGCTCCGGCGTCCGGGTCATCCGCGGGGGCTGCGCGCCTCACTCCAGCAGCTGCCTCCGCAACTCCTGAGGGCAGGTAACGGGGAGGGTGCAGGTGAAGTTCTGGCACACGTAGGCAGTCGCTCTGCCCTCCAGGGCCCTCAGGGTGGCAAGGACAGGCAGCCGCTGGTATAAGAAGCCGTCTGTGTCGCCATCTGCCAGCATCAAGACCTGAGAGGGATAAAACACGGGTGAGGGGAGAAGGTACAGGAGAAATCTGAAAACAAGCCCTGACAGATATTCAGAGGCAGAACGGTGAGAACAGGAGGAACAGGGGATAACAAGCACTCATGTAAGAAATCAGACACCCAGGCTTACAGAGACTGTAATTTAGCTAAATTTATAAACTCGCCAGCTACATGCAAAAACCGCTATATCGTTAAAAAAAAAAAAACAATGCTATAATGCTCCTATAAGGTCAGTTATCTCTTGTTAACACAACATATCAAGACATCATTCTGAGAGAAGTGTGGGTGGCAATATATAATTACAGTGCCTTTTATACATTGTAGCTCTTTCATAAAATGCAAACACTTAAACATACTACATCTCCAATGGTGGCAACGTGCAACACAAATGTAACACAGAGAGGTTTTGGACTGGGGAAAAGCCCCTATACTCACTTTCAACTGTCTCAACAATATAAAGTGTATATTGTGTATTGGAGAGAAAAGCATTTTGCTTATTTAAGTGAAGAGAATGTATATTCTGAATGTTGCTTGGGAGACCTATTAACATCATGAGGATTCTGATAAATTCGCCCTTTTGCATCCTCCAGTCCCCATGTCCTGTGGATCTGATCACTGGCCAGAAGATTAAGCTTTTTCACAGGGACATTAAGGAAAGCTGTGAGGTAATCCACTTGCACTCTCCTCTTACATTTATGCATACTGGGCAGAGAGCACCCCCAAACTACTCAAACAGAACCAGTAATTTGCAGCAGTCAATGGGATCTGCGATGTATCTAGCTCATGTAGCTTGGAGGGGAAATTCGGAGCCAGCCTTTGCTGAAGAGAAGGGGAAATTCACAGGGCATTCTCCTCCCCACGCTACAGCCACAAGCGGTTTAATCTGTATCTTCAGGAAAGCAGCTCTAGGGAGGGAAGGCACAGGGATTGATAACCAGCTGACTTCACTACTGTCTGGGAGCCCCTCCTTAGTTAACTGGGGTGGAGGATGGGGTAATTCACACAGTGGGGAGCTGTCACGCTGGAGAATGGAGATCTGAAAAGTAGTGTCAGAAGGGTGGGAATCTATGCTAGAAACATGCTCGACATGGGACACCAAATCACAAAGGAAGGATCTCTGAAGCGTGTCTTCAGTATAACAAGATTCTCCTTATTGGGGTTCTCCGCTTGTGGAGAATTCTGCCCCATTAATTTCCTGTTATCCCCGGGAGCTGCCTGCAGTGAAACACGGCAGAAATCACAGGGCCTGTCATCGGCTTAACTGGCACCTCATGACAGTCAACATAATAAGACGTAACATGCACAAATAAAGAAATCAGTGCAGACAAAGCAAGTCTCTTGGCCAGAAGAGGGCTTGAGAAATAGAGCAGACTTCTCCCTCGGCACTAAATGCTAACAGACAGGCAGACCCTGAAATCAGCAGCGGCTCTTTGCGGATCACAGCCGCTTCTCCCACTGACAGCCAGAAGGATGTCACGTCAACACCCTCTCTGCTTTATGGGGTCACTTAAAAATTGGACAATGGGAGCAGCTTCCACTTTTGGGATAATAAGGGGAAGCTGATTAATCGGCAAAAGGCATTCCTTGGATTTAGATCAACTCGCCTGGGGAATTCAAACCTGTCAGAGCTGGTGGCACGACACAGCTCAGATCTCAAACCAAAGTCTGACTAATAGGAGTGAGAGTAGCGCTTTTACTGCCTGAGGACCGAGAGCTTGACTGCATTCTTAAGTGTCATCCTGAGACAGGTCTGTACATACAATACAGGGAGACAGGAAGTATTCCCTCAAACTGCTGCACAAATGTTTCCGCATGCCATATGCTTCTCATAGTTTCCTTCTTGGGCTGTGACCTCTGTATCTGTAGGTAGAAGTTTTCAGAGGCTTTCTTGCTCTCCTGCTCTTGGCACTCAGCCCTCAACCCCACCAAGGCTGCTCATCACTACCAATGCACAAGAAGCAATCGTGACACATTCAGATTGAGTTCACTGCTGAATCTACGAATCCATGTGTGGGGTTACCTCCCCTACTGATGAGTGTGCATTATTTCCACTTGTTCCTTAAACATAGGAATCTTAAGCTGTGAAATTTAAGGGATAGATGGGAGAAAAAAAAGCAAATTCCTTATCTAACCAGAGCTGAAACTGCGCCTGAAACATGAGAGGCCTAACCAAAGTCAAGACTAGAAAATACGAATGTACAAACACACAGGCCGGGAGAAAAAACAGGGTTTGACTAGATGCCCACAGTACACACATACATAAGCAACAGATCATTATACATTTATCTCCCTCCCTGCTCTGCTATTATGGACGTGCTCATTAAATTCTAACAGGAATCCATGATGCAACTCCTCTTCATTTGTCTGGAAGAATGTACCAGAGGGAAAACGTAAAAAAAATCCCCAGCTTTAGTTGTCCAGCCCAAAGCTCAAGGTAACATTCAGCTTCCACATCCAGGCCTAATAAGCTGAAGGCCTGCAAACGTGGAAGCGGCTAAACACCACATTGCAAGGTCATCATGATGCGATTAGTCATGCCTTCTGGGGCTGAAGTAGTTTTACTGCATCTTCTCATCAGGACTGGGTAGGGATTACACATTGCCTTTCCCTGCTGAAGACTTTTACTTGGAATATCATTTACATTTTGAAATAATGACACTCTAGGAGATATCAAATTAACCTACAAAGAAATGATGCAAAAGCAGTAACCGTTTTTCTCGCACCGAAGAGTCGATATTTCCATGCAGATTCTTCAGTTTGCTGAGGCATCTTTTAAAAGCTGCTTATTCTGTTCCACACCTTAGTGTGTGCAGCACAGCCATAATTATACACAACTGTCAGTGGCACCATAAACAGATGGTATCCTGTAAATACATCGGTGACGAAATACAGAGGAAGCAACATTCTGGAGATTAATGAAAGTAATGAACGGAGGCAGCACGGTCTTTTAAAAGTGACAGCAGATGATTTAAGGAATACTGACAAAGAGATGACACCACATGACTTTATCGCGATTTTCCAGGGAGACGTGCGATCAGGATCGTGCGCAATCAAACATCACGGGGTGCAGAGCGACAAGATTCAGTCAAAGCTAATAAGCTAAGATCTGAAAGAGTACATGAGAGAGCTGTGCCAAAACATCACCATGGTATGTAGAGTAATTAGTACACTAATTAGCATCATTTCAAATGTGCAAATCTTTGTCTTGTGTTGACTTTGATTTTCGAATATGCTGTCTTTGACAGAAAGAGTTTGGACGCTGTCAGTCGCTTTTAATCAGCAACCAGAACAGACAGACTGAAACTCGCTGAGATATCTGACCCCCAACTGCCTGAAAATTTCAAATTCACATTGTTTTTCACAGTACATTTACATGTAATTTATTATTAAAACAGCAGGCACGTTAACAATGACAACCGCCACTGAAGTTATATAATTTTACTTATTTTCACATAAAATATTTTTCTCCAAGATACAGTTCTGACTAAAAAGCTAATTCAAAAGCCAAAAGTGTTCTTTCACAGCAGACTTTAAAACTCAGTGGGTGGCTCATTTTCTTCTCATTCGTTTTTCTTTGCTGTAGTTTCATACCCCCCACAAAGAATAATAAACCATTTGCTGACCTTTAGCGGATCCAAAAAATAAAATGAAAAAACATGTTCAACAATACCACTCAATAAATACCCAAGAAAGAAAACATTCAAAAGGATAATGTGTTCAAAGCTACTTGGTTTCTCCTTGTGTGAAACTGTAGGTTGCAATGCCAAGAAAAAAAATCAACTGAAATCTGAAGCTCAGTTGTTATTCAAACACTTTTGCTTCATATGGATCAGACGCATCCGAACCTTAAACGAGCATAATTCCCGAATTACCAGATCGCAACACAAACCTTAACTGAAAATCCCATCGGATCACTTATCAAAAACTAAGGCAAATAATTGCAAGTTTCTCAAGCTGCTTCCAAGAATAACATTAGATATTCAGTAAAATGTATGCAAGTTTATCCTTTGCTCAAAGGACAATTTGACCTTTTATTTCGAAAGAAGAAATAAATCCCAGGCGATCAGGTAAGAGGGGCACAGAAACACACTGAAAGCAAGTACTATAAACAGGTGAGGTGAAGTGTTTCTATTTGAGCCCTAGCTTTGTTTACTGAAATATCTGCCTTCTTAATCATACAAACTCAAGCTGAACGGCGGCAGTGTGTGAACCCATCTGCTCACCATGACGGACAGCCAGTCTGGGCATATAAAATAAAAATATTACACCCCGACAGTAAACAGAGACGTTGACTATACAGTCATCCAAAGTGACTCCCTGTGACACTGTTATGATGAAATCATTGTGTGGGTCATATGATGTGATATTAGGAATTTGGTTTATTTAAAGCTTTCGAATTATGGGAGCTTGCAACCTCAAATTCACAAGCATCACAAAACAGAACAAAAGAAGCATATTTTTGAACACATAATTACTAACTGCCTCTTATAGCCCAATAATGGGAATTTATCAAAAATAACCAGGTCTCAAGGACCATGTAATGTAACACGGCATCACATTTTAATAATTAAATTAGAAGGATGTTTCCCAGAAAAGAAGGGCTCTGCTCTATTTCACAGGGCCTGTCCAGCCACCTGCTAATTCCAGAAGTCGGTTCTCCATCTAACAAACATCTCCACTTGACAAAGCATTTATGACAGTCTGGAGAGGTACCGCTTGAGTGTGTTACGTCTCTGTAAAATTAAAAAAAATAATTTATTCTCAGCAGTGGAAACGTTGCTCAAATTGCTGAATTCACTTCTACCTTATATATTATAATAAAACACAATATATATTATGTACATATTTTATATAAATTATGTATATATATATATAAGTTCAGCATTTCATCCAGAAAGAAAACAGAAGCATGTGCCAGACTTTAACATCAAAGCCTAGCTGCTATTTATGTAAGCCAATGCAGACACCCATTGCTAGCTGCAC